GACCTAAGTCAAGTGTCACACCTCCACCATGAAGCCTTCTCTGTTCCTCCTATAATAATCATATTCAGCCAGGTTATATGTTGTCACTGTAAATTGATTTGTACTATCTCCCAAAGATCTTCATGGTGGATGTTATCTTTACCTGCCTTTTCACAATGAGAAACTGTATCTTGGTGTGGTTAAGTAACCTCCCCCCCAGATCATATATAATGAGTAGCAGAGCCAAGTCTGGGGCTCCCGCCAGCACAGCTGGACTCCTGAGCCTATTGTTTAACTCTGTTACTCTGCTTCTTCCATCTTTTATATTCCCACAATGTGTTGCCAGTGCCTCTGTGTATATATCAGTGTGAGACATACATGGTGGTAATACATACTATCCACTCAGTGGTCCAACCCAGAATTTGTGAGTAACCTCAGAAAGGCCCTTTCCCCTCTTCCACACATTTACTCAATCACTACCCTGTTCACATTGCTTCTTAAAGGTTATTAAATCTCTTTTATCAACTCTGTAGTTGAGAGACCACAATTCTATATAGATTCAATGATTGGCCAAAATTTCAAGTTAGAATCGATGTTCTTGCACATGTCATGACTTCAAATTCAAAGCCCCTGGGATTAACTGACATTAAATTTGATATTTCCTTGACAGTACAATGGACTTGTTCTGAACCCTCTATCTAAAATACTATTTCCTCAAAAACCACAGTTGCTTTCTCCAGCATCCTGTTTTAACCATATCCTCCAAATACTAAGAATCTGGAACCCCAGAAACAGGAAGGCAGCAGCAGAGAAGGGTTGAGAGGAGGGACAGTGCTCCTGCAGTAGCTAACAAGCCCTCCCAGGAATCTGTTACCCAACAGCTGTCATGCCCTTCACTTGAAGTCCTCCTTGGGAGAGCAAATATCTTAAACAGCCTCCTGAGTTTGATCTGAGTTTGATTTGACCCAGTTCAACACAGAGCTACATTGATGATGCAGCCTATAAAACAAGCTATCAAAACTTCAGCTCCTTTTATTTAATCAAAAATGTGAAAAATATATTCCTTACTTCATCCCTGAGACACACACCATAGGTGTGAAGGGCAGGGCAGTTTCCCAGGGGGCCTGAATCATGTCTGGGCTGGTCACTGCACACAGTACGTGTAACGACCAGCCAGTACATGTTCTGTGAGTAGTGAATGCAGAGCTTTCTTATGAGGGAATGTCCTCCACATGCAGTGAGCTGATTCTCATCGGCCTGAAAACTGAGCAAAATAACCATGATTTCTATGCACAGACTTGCATTTCAGGAAAAAGTTTTTTCACTTGACGTTTTATTTTCAGGCAATATTTAATGAAAGAATTCTTGAGAGAACTGTCACAAAATTTTGATCTAAGATAATTCTGACATTTCTTCCCCACTGGAGCCACTCCTGAAAATAAGAAATCTCAGAAGCTTAGGTAAAAGAATTACGTACAACAGTAAAAGAGACAATGTGTCACACTCCCTCCGAAGCTTGTCATCTTTAAATTCAGGCTGTTTTCCTTTCTTAGCTAAAACATTCTTACTAAAATCTGAGACCAGAGAACTTTCTTAAGCAAGCCCTTAAGATTCAAATATCCTCATCTCTATACACATCTATTTATTTATTTTAGGGAGAAACTAATCATAAAGTAAAACTAACCAATACTGACTCTGCGTACAACACTTCGCAGTCACCATGGTGTGGTGTACAGAAGGCCTAACGAATATCAAGCACTACGTGAATGGATTCTAAGAGATGTTTAAGGATTGTGCCAAATCTAATCATTATGTTGAGGACTTCCCAACAAGCCATGTTTCAGATCCTGGAGGTGATTATGCTAATTCTTTTGTTCAGGCCACAGTTTGGTAAACGATGGCTGTCTTGACTCAACCATTGGCTATAATATGATTGTTCAGCACCAAGGACCAGAGATTCAATGACACGCAAGCTCTGACACGGCTTCCAGCCAAACACAGGAGACAGAGAACCGAACAAGGATAATGAGGTCTGCACCAAAGTGCTTCAGTGTCCACCATTATAGCATTTACCCAGAAATGGGGAGTCAGGGAAGGAAGGCTCCTCATGAACTGTCAAAAACAAAGACCTTGGAAGATAAAGACCTCAGCATAAGAGGGTTTGATAGAGGGAAGCAGATAGAACCCAATAGGCATCGACCTCAGGATCCGGGCGGAAAACCATAATCAGTGTAGCAAAGTCACATCACACAGGGCCTTGTAAGTTATGTTTAAAAGTATAAAGTCAATGGGGAGCCACTGACCAGATGCCAACAGGCAAGCAGCAGCGGCAGCAGATTTGCATTTAGAAAAATTCACTCTGGCTGTTGTACAGCAAGTGGATTGGAGAAGGGACAGGTGCAGAGGCAGAGAGCCCAGTGGGCAGAGGGAAGCATAAGGGTTATGTCTGTGTAGATGCAGAAATATTTTAGGAAGTAAAAACCAACAGAACTTGGTGAGCCAATACTTTGGTTCCGTGTAAAGTTTTCCCTTTAACAATTTTGCTGGATGCTTCAGAGGAAAGAAAAGCAACCTATGAGAGAACAGCTCGGCTTAGCAAAAGAGAAGAATGCTATTCTACCACATATAATAAACATTTCAAATGCTTAGAATCTAGTTTCTTCGGCAGTTTTATTAGCACCATTTACCGTAGCAACCTCAACAGCGATCAGGTCAGGATCACCAAAAGGGCCTTAAAAATATTGCCTGCCCCCCCCCAGCAATCTCATCTTGGTACCCCAGAACCAAGCAGAGTGATCAGCCCAGATAGCTCAGTAAATGTTAGTTTAGTGGAAATGAAGTGTAATTCAGGTTGTGATTAGGTCAAATGTATCAAGCCCTCTGAAACTACCTGGCATAAAAACAGGTCTTCTGTGTGACATTTTATTTAGAGAACAAGTGACAGCAGAAAATTGAACTAATTTTCTGAATGGAAAGATAAAGTAGGGGACCTGCTGAAAAGCAGCTGGAAAAAAATGCATATGAGAGATGTTAAGCAGTACTGCCCAGATACCGATGGCTGTGAGATAAAAACAACAGGTGAACAGGCACACAAGGAGGGCCGGGCCATCGAGCCTAGGTGTTGGGGGGTGGCTCAGTAAATGAGGAATACCCATAAATAGCCGCAGTTCCCTTCAATGCGCACAGAAGCCACTTGTGCCCAGGTCCGGGGGAAGGCAGGTTACTTAGAGCGGTAATGGCTCTAGACAGGAGTTGTGGCTGATAAGTCAATCTTTTGATAGTCACACCTGCAACCAACCTTTGTTCCAATACCCAGGGTGAAACATTTTGTTTAAGATGTGGTGATTTTAACTTGTTTCAAGTTACAATCAAGTCTCCAGTTCCTACCTAGCAGATGATACTAGGTACAAAGTACTAGAGTTTCCTGACTCAATCTGATACTCTGTGATAGAGTCCAGAGAGGGAATCAGTGAACATTAAATGAATATTTCAATGAATAAACAAATAAATGAACCTGTTGAAGTGCTTAGGTTCTGTCTTATTATCTAAATGTCCATTTCTTCTTAAACATATAAGATAAACTCCTCCCCATTGGAAGACTACATTCTTTCAGAGGAAAAGGTGAAGCAATATAAGAATTAAACACCGCATTACCTTTCTCAAGGATCCAAGCATCCTAACTCTTCTTTTTCATTTCTTTGTTTCAAATAACACATACACAAATTACATGCAATTTTTTCTTTTTAAAAGTTTCCATAAACTTTGGATGCATTAACTTTTAGTCTTCCTCACTCTATCCTTACAGATCTGTGATATCCATTTGCTTGTGCCCTTGACCATAAGACTTTCCTTTTAACATCCTATAATATCCCTAATATCTAATCCTAGCAAAAGTCTCCCATTGCAGCCTCATTCTCTTAATTGTTCCTTCTCTTTATCTTCACTGTGATTATTCATATTTCTGATATCAGAAAACACCCACCCAAGGGATCACACTTCCCTTTTCTGCCTGTTTTAGATGGACAGTTTACTAGGGTACTAAACTATAATTTGTGTCTTCATTCTTAGTTTTCTGCAGTCCTGCCCCCCAAAGTTCCCACCATGTTTCATTACTAGCATGCTTTTCTTTCTCATTTAGAATTAGCACCAGAATTAAAATGCTCTCATTGCCTTCTCTATGTCTGGATATGAAATTGTCAGCAAAGCAAGCAGAGAATCAATCAGCTGGTCTGCTTTTTAGTAAGGTGTCTGTTCCACGAGCTGTCTAGTCCACACAGGGTCTCCATCACTATTTCTACAACCTGCCTTCACAACCCCATTTTCCAATGTGCATCAGGAAACCATTGTTCATGTTTCCTATTTGGTAGGAAGTCTATGCTATATTCTCTCAACACCCCACCATCAATTCTGCTTTTGACTCTACTCCAAAAACTACCCTATGCATCCATCATGAGGTCATTAAATTTGCCAAAAAATGCACACAGTACAATCCCATACTACCCTACGTTCCCTTCTATTATTGTTATCAATCAATTGTGTATACTTATTAGTTATTATATAATTACTTAATTTTCCCTGCATAAGTTTCCTTCTCTAATAGAGATAATATACTTGCTCAACTGACTAATTTAGGAAAACTTCTGTCTATAAAATTATTTTAAAAGGAAACCTGATGTTTCAGCTGAAACCACAGTTTCAGCAAAATAGTTAACAGAATTTTTCCCTGAGAGGTTGCACTGTACCACAGTTAACTTAAACACAGAGATAATTTATGTACAGTACATTAAAATCATTATTAATGTGTCTTAATTTTTAAAAGTAAATAATGGGGAGTCTTAAGCAAATGCCTGGTGATAAGAAACCCTTGAAATCTTGCAAAAGGATCATTTAATTCCATTGTGGTTAATACATGGAGGATAATAAATGGCTAGCCAAAGTTAAAATCAACTTATCTATTTTTTATTCATTCATCAAACTGAAGACTAGTATCTAAAGATTAGGTTGTCCCAAAGGGTACTTACAAGAACATTGCCATCAGTAGCCATGTATGATGTCAAATCGGTAGAAACAAAAACTACAAGAGAATAAAGGCAATTCATTAAATGGTCTTTTAATACAGAACACAATAAGCCAAATGTTTAAAACTGAGGTCATAAAATAAGACAGAATTTCCTTTGCACATTTGTCAGTACACTTCCCAGTCTACAGCAAGACAAGAATATTATTTATGTAATTAATATTATATTATACATAAACATGTATCTTTGAAAAGTGAAAATATTTTCCTCTTCATGGTGAACAATACAATGTAAGATGTGGAAATATTTGATCCATTTCTATTATTCTGATGTAGTAACTAAACTATTTCAAAATGTTCCATCTCCTCAGAAGTCCCAACTTTAATGTGAAGATGAGCCCCTTTTGATGTACTGCACTTTGTACTGGATTATCTGAAAAATAAGACATTCTGGGGTTTCAAGAAAAACAAATGAAAACAAAATGAAAAAAATCTCATTTTTTTAGGGCAACCAAGAAACTTGTTAAACATCCATGAGCCACTGAAACTCTCCCCAAAGCAGAGAGCCTTTTAATTTCTTCCCAGTGACACTACAAATAGAGATGGATACTCCATGTTCCTTTATTTCTTTTATCAATGGTTCCTAAATCTTGAAGAATGGATACCTCTTTTTAACATCAAAAAGACCATATTATATAGATATGAATAAAATATTTATTTATAAACATCAAAGACAAAAACCACAATAAAAGACAATTTACTTACTTAACTTTTTAACTTATTTATTTTAAAAAATACCCTAATACCTAAATTCAAATCACACTGGTGAAAACATCTGCAATATATAGCTAATATATAAGAATGAAAATGTAAAGAGTTCTTACACATCAATGAGACAATAATAAACAAATGAATGGAAATAAGGGAAGGAAAATTTTTTAAAATACAAATACAAATGATGAATGTTTAACCACATTAGCAACAAGTGCAACATAAAACAACATGATTCCATTTTTGTCAAGATTGGCACACATGAAAATATTAAGTGGAGGTGTGTTGCTAAGAGTAATTTGCTGTTGTTAGAATGCCAGATTATTACAGCCGTGCTACAGGGCAATTTGTCAGGATGACAGCGGTGATGATGAGAACAGCCAAAATGGCCACTTGCTAAGTCTTTACTATGTGCCGTCAGCCATGCTGAAGCCCTACAACCAAACAGGCAGAGTTTTGCAACACAGCCTTAATTACAAAGTAGGGGGAAAATCATGTGCTGTGATATCATTCATTATCATAAAAATACAGGTTTATATACATACATATCCTGCATCATTTATTGCATTAGGGTAAAACATCTGAAGTTACTCACAGCAAAATGTGTATACTAATTATCTCTGAGAGCTGGAGTAACCCATATGTGTTTATTGTCTACAGTATTTATAAAATTAAAATGATCAGATAAAATGCTGAATATTGTACCGATAAATACTCTTTATAAGAATGTATTTTTAATATCCACTGAGTGAACACGTAGCAAGTAAAAGCTAAAAGCTAGTTTGAATTAAGTAGCTCTTTTAGTAAAGAAGCTTGTAGAACTTGTAGAAATTAAGAGCAAAGCTTTGGGTTGGTCTGGGCTGGATTTAAATCCCAGCCTGGAAATTTATAGGGTAATTGTAGCTGAGTAACTGATATTTTGGGGCCTTAGGAATCCCGTCTGTACCATGGGAATAATAATAGTATTTTCTCCTTAGAGTCAGATAAAATTTAAGAGAAAATACCTTTCTAATGCTCATAGCAGGGCCCAACTTACAAGAAATACTCAAAAAGATACTTTGTTGTCATAAAATATATTCACTCCTTAAGCAAGAATTTATTAAAGGTCAACTATGTATACCCTTTAAATGTAATATAAAACATTACTGTTTAACCTTTCCTGACTCTGTTTAACATTTCCAGATAACTAATTGGCACATCCCCTACAATAACATAAAAGCTAAAAAATTGCATTTATTAAGTGGTTACTATGTGCCCAGCTAATTGATGATTTTCATGTATCATGCCATATGATTAGAAGGACCTTATGAATAATCTGCTATTATTAGTCCCATGTCTTAGATGAGGCAATCTAGGTAATTTAGGGGAAGAAGTTAGCAAATGGATATTTCTGAATTCAAACACATATGCCAGAGTCTGCTCTCTTAACCACCACAGCACTATCCCAGCTTGCCCCAGATTTCCCACAGGACATTGCTCCTAGTTAACATCTCAGGGACCACAGTGTTGTATCATGGTGCCGTGGACAATGAGAATAAAGGTCGTGGTGGACCCACTCTTCTACATGCCCCAGGGCCTAAGCCAGTGAAGAGTTTAGGCAAGAGTTGTCAAAATAATGTTTTAAATTAATAGATCACACCCTCAGACAACTTTATGATTTCAGTGATATTCTGAATCCCTTCCCTCAGCCAGCTTTCTGAATCTCCTATTTTCAGGACAACCAAGAAACTTTTAAATATCCACAAGCCACTGAAACTCTCCCCAAAGCAGAGAGCCTTTTTATTTCTTAATTGTTTGTGAATCATTAAAAGTAATTTTTGTGATAGTCATCATGTTGTATTTGGCGTATATTTGGAAGGAGTTCAAAAACTGCTCCATTCCCATCTATTTATTTATGTGAAAAATAGTTCTAAGTGCTTACATACATAAAATATAATAGGATTAATATTAAAATCCTATTAAAAATAGGATTAAAATAAAATTAACCTCTCATTCTAGCAATAAATAATACTTATCCATGGATATGTTACATAAGTACAGGGAAAACCTGATCTATCTCATTAAACAATGCATCTTCAATAAAAATATTTCTCTTGTATTAATCATTACTTGTCAAAGTTTATAAACTACTCAATCTGTTTGTTAAATTATATACCAATAAAATTGTAATGATAACTCACTCCAGATGAAATATTTATGGCTTAAAGAATTAAATCACACAAAAATTTTTTAATTAATTTCAATTTATGTTTTTTTGCTGAAATGTATGATAGAATTGTCAAAAAAAAGTTTTCCAGCACAAAAAAAATTGGATAAAAATGTATGGAGTAATGGAATGAAAATACGAGTTCCAGGGAGAAAAAAACAGAACAATGTAAAATTTACAACTCCAAAAATTACTTTAAAAAAAAAAGGGACATACCAAATATCTGAAGAATTATATTGCACAGATTATATTTAAAGAGAAATATAACCTTTTTGCTATCAAGATTTAGAATATACCAGAAATTACATCTTTTGCAACTATTTAAACATATGATAAAAATTCTAGGTGATGATTTAAGGTGTAAGGGAGTACACCAAATTATTTTATGGTTACACCCAAAAAACGGTGTTTTAAAACTACTGCACATACGTAAGTTAGGATCAAACAGATTTCATTTTGCCACTTGTTAAATATGGAAATTTATGAAAATCACTTATTTCCCTGAATAGCAAACACCTCATCTGTTAAATTGAAATAATAGCAAACTCATAGGATTTTTTGTGAAATTTAAATGAAATATCATATGGGAAACAGGGAAGGCGCAGTGCACACTCAGTAAATGATAGCAATTACCTGGAATGGAAGCAATTACCTAGAAATAGCTTTGTTATAGAAAACTATCCTTCCTAATGGAATTAGCATGCAACTAAAGGGCTTGAGCAAGTGTGATAACAGGTTTCATCAAATAAAATAGCTTTTATACTTCAAGGTTGATTAAACTCCCTAACTTACTATTCTTGAGACATCTTTGGTACTTTGCTTCAGAGTTTAAGGGAATAGTTTTCTCAGTCATATCTGAGACAATTATCTTCTTCAAAGTTCCTTGACATATCACAGTGTGCGACTTAGCCGAACAACGAGGTCATTAATAATATTTTAAGTTTGTGAAATGAAATCAAATGCATTCCTGACAAGCTCTGTAACTGAAAAGTGGAAAACATATTGCATTACCAAATGAATAATAAAGTTAATGTCAAAGAAGAGATTTTCCTTTAAAGCGGTTTTTATGGGCTGAGTGTTTGTGTCCCCACCCCCCAAAATTCATGCTGAAATCTAATCTCCAGTGTGACAGTGTTGAAACTGGGGCCTTTGGGTCATGATGGCAGAACCTTCATAAGTGGAATTAGTGCCTAGGTAAGAAGAGGCAGAGAGCTTGCTCACTCTCTTTCCACCATGTGAAGATACCAGGAGAAAAGTCAGCAGTCTGCAACCCAGAAGAGGGGGCTCTCACCAGAACCCAGCCATGCTGGAGCCATGATTTTGGACTTCCAGCCTCCAGAACTGTGAGAAACACATTGTGAGAAACACATTCTATTGTTGATAAGCTACCCAGTTTACGGTGTTTTGTTACAGCAGCCCACGTGGACTAAGACACCGATGAAGAATCATTCCATTTTGTTTTAGACACAAACAAAATTCAAATTCATTATAGAAATTTATTTTAGAAACTTTGATAAATTAGTTAAGTCAGAAATACAGACTCTGGTCTTAAATCAACCTAAAGCCAGAAATAAGCCAAGACTATCAATACGCAACAAATGCTCTAGTGATTAAAAGAAGGCAGTTGGTGATAATAACTTTTTTAAAAAGAAAATTTTACTAAAGGTGGTTATAGGTTCAATGAATCCAAAAGTAACTATCTTGATTATTCCACAACAGACATTACAATTTTGGGGATGATACAGCAAAATAAGCACCATGTCTATTGTTTTAAAGTTTTTAAAAAGAAGAAAACTTATTGTGATTTAGAGATAACTTTCCAATTGAAAGAAACCGTGGGCTGGGTTTATTCTCTTTTTCACAGAGCATTATGTGAAAACATGTGAACATTTTAAACTTTGAGCTCTAAAATTTCAAAAACCCACAGATTAAATCATAGCACGTTTATTCTCTAAAATTGCAATGCTAGCATTTGACAAGGCACTCTGAGAGCCACAAGTGGACATACAGAAAGCCCATGAACATAGGCAAACAATGTGCATTATTCTTAAATATCCAGAAACTAGAGCTGAAGAGGAAA